CATTTAAAATAAAATATAATATACAACCAATAAGGCCCAGGACTGTTGAGTAGCTAGAATCTTATATCAGACAAACATTCCTCTCCCAAAAATCCAGAAAGTGGTCTCCTCAGTTCCCAGATGTTTAAGAAAAAACAGGAAATGCTCCGCAGTGTAAACCAGGCCCTGTCCCACCTTTTCAGAGATGTGTTGTTCATTCAAAACGAGCTAATATTTTTCTGAAAATGTTACATTTCCTCAATTTACTTTTGATACGTTTTATGTGTTCCATTGTGAGTAACGGGTTTATGAGATTTGCAAATCATTGCACTCTGTTTTTATTTACATGTTACAGATGTTTAGAACATGTTTAGAAAAGGGTTTGTATTATGCGACCCAAGATAAGATCCCGATAGGCTGGGATATTACTGACAGATAAATGAAGAAGTGTTAGAATATTTTGAAAGTGACAGATTATCTTTGTCTTCTGTGTGTTTAACACCATCATTCTTGTCTGTTCGCTCTTTCTGTAAGGGTCACAGTGATACTGAACTCGACGTCACATGCTAAAATGTATACAGTGAAATATGGATTAGGGTCGGCTGATAGTGAAATGTCCTGGGTCAGAGGTACATATTTGGCTCTTTACGTTTGAGTATATTCAAATTTCAAAAACGAGTATCGGGTGTAATTTATTTATTTATCCTTTGTCCTTCAAGCCCTGATCTCAAACCACAGATAAGCGAAGCGTTTGTTTTTGTGTACGTGTGTGTGTCTTTAAGTGAGATTTAAAGGATTTGATTGAGATCCCTCTCCTAACCACAACTGACCCACATATTCTGTTTCATTTGGAAGCACAATGCAGAGAACGGTGATACTCCCATGCTTTGCTGTGACTTTAGAATTCCTTTTTGTTCACCTCCAGCAAAATTTCTCATCTGGCCTCGCTGCAGAATCCTATGACATGCTGCTGTTATGTGACCCTTTCAGTTAAGGATCTGTTCGATCCTTCCTCCGCTGTGATATAATATAAGTGTAAAGTTTATGACATGGCCTTGCAGTGGTAGAATATGCCAGTACGTGACACAGCAGTTTGCCCTCTGCTAACATGAAATGGAAATTCCCATTCATTGGGTGGGGAGCGGGTGGAGGGGTGGGCTAGGGCTGGATGTTTACTGCATCCAACCAGATGAGGGCAGTGTATCACAGCTCTGCTGCACAATCTCAGAGCTCTACCAGGGAATACTACACGCTGAGGACAACTCAGCCCGAGGTGGAGATTGGGAATGGATGGAAACCCTGCTTTAAAGCATCATTTTGACTCATCACTAACATGAGCAAAGACAGCAGGGACTACACTTTACATCTAGTCACTATTAGAGTGGATGCGGTTTCCAGTGTGTTACACACTTTCCTCCTCGCCTCGCTATTCCTCCAACTGCTGCTGTGATGTGTCTCACTTTTTCTCAGCACAGATGTTGTGCTGTATTCTGTTGTTATTCTCTGCCAAATGACAACCAAATGTCTGCGTATAAACAGATGTCACTGAATGGGTGTCTTTTTTCCCCCCTCACGACACTTGTCTGCTTGAAATACTCTGCTGCACCTTTGTAAAACCTTTTTTTTATTCCAGCATTGTTTTATGTCAGCAGATTCACGTACACACCGTACCTCGACAGACAAGTAATTGAGAGCATATTGAGCATCTCGACTTCTATCCACGAGATGCTGCATTGATGAATAAATAATGGATCGCCCTTTCAAGTGCATCTTTGAACAGTGCTGAAGTTTTTAACCCAATGAAACCTGGAGACAGCTACAGCCCCCAGATTTTAAACCTCTTATTCAAGCCCTACACACGCCACCTTTCTCCTTTAACGCCCCCACCAATTCTCTCTCTCCCTCTATTTCTCTCTCTCCAGCATAATGCCCCCCCATTGGGTCTTCTTTCATCAGAGAAGAGTATCCATGAGATGCAGACACAAAGGTCTCTCATACACAGCCCTGAATATACACCAAAGCATGTATGCATAAACCAGACTGCACACTTTTGTTTTATGTCCCTGGAGGGCCAATTTTAGGAAATTCGGCGACAGCTGCACCCTCCACATCCCACTAATTTGTATCTTTATGAAACACATTTGTTATATTAAAAAGAGACAACGAGCTCAAAATTTGTGCCTAATTTAGGCTGCATCTAAGAAAAAAGCAGCCTAACTGCGTTGCATAAGTGATGACATTGACAAATAGCAGCCGTTCAGATGAGAGGGTGAATCATATGTCATTGTTACTTACAGCTTGAGCTGCAACCTGGCCTCACAATCCTCCTTCCCAAATCCTATCACAGCTGTGAGCGGTGGTCTCACAGCTCTGAGGAGAAAGCCACTGAATGAAACTGTTTGATATATGGCTCTATTCCCCCCGATGTCCTCACGTTGTTACAGACATATTGCCACGAAGACACATTTATCAGACGCATCATATCAGCTTTCTGCTCATGACATCACAAAACCGTTTCTTTTCTGAGAAGAGCTATAGTTTAAAAATTCTTCAAATAAATAATTACTTACTGTCGGACACAGGGGAATACAAGAGCCCATATGAATGGTTTGACACATGGAAGCCTTAAATCCTGCAGGAGGATTCAGGGTCCTCACGAGCAGGATCATCTACTAGAGCAGATGTTGTGACTTCCATTCAGTGATCACATTTAAACAAGTTTGATTACGGAATGTGTTTCTTACTTTTTCATTTCTTATCTCATTTCAAACTCGTTTAGTTTATAATTTACAGTGCTATTGCTTCTGAGAGAAACAAAGGTTTTTCTTATCTGACTTTCATCTAATGCTTTATTTCTTAAAAGGGATGTATAGTTTTAATCGGTTTTTTTTATTTAAATTAAATAGATGTTTATTAGAATAAAAAATACATACAATACAGATTGAGGGTATTAAACAGGGAGCAGCATATAAATACGTAATGTAAATATACTATCAAAATATTCAAATCCATATTGAAAAGTTTTCTAATTTGTATTTTCATAGCGACTATATGAAAGTTTTTTTCAAATATCACTTTTCATAACAATAGTAGAGTTTGCCTCACCTAACCAGTGGCTTTCAAACTGCCAGAGAAATTAAATTAGCTAGGCTACTTGTAAGTAGCTAAGGAGCACAGCAAGCAGCCAACCAAAGATCCTGGCACTCTTGAAAAGCACTGTGAGTTAAACTTGCATTAAGGTCGGACACAGATGCTCCAGATTTTTCCTCTATAGAGCTGTGTGTAACTAAATTATCCACCTAACATTAACTACTGATGCAGCTGAACATACCACCAGCTCTTAATTCAGTTCATACAAATGGTGTAACTAGCAGGCAACTTAGGAGCCTCATTACGGTAAAAAAAAAGAAAAAAAGAAAAAAAAGGTTGTTTTATCGTAGCTAAATGTGAATATAATGTACTTACAGTATTAGCAACAGCAGCTAGCAAGGATGTTCAGAATTATATATATTGTGCCTAAATTAGGCACATTGTGTATATTATATATATATATATATATA